TGGCATTGATTGACAACCCTCCTGCCTCAGTTTACCAAGTCACTGGAATCACAATGTGCTACCACACCTAGCATCTTTTAGTTTTTATTTTATGCTTTCTAGATTTTTATCCTTTCCTCTAAAAGAGCTTACTAGCCTGTTTTTTTTCTTTTTACCTCCTTAATTCATTTTAAATGTGGGTCTATATTGTTAAGTAAATGTTATTTATTTCAACTATTAAGTATAGTGTTAGTTTAGCTATTGCATTTCAAGAACCCACTGGGTTCTTTGGTAGAATTTCTTCTTGTTTCTTTCTATGTTTTTAACATCTCCACTTAAGTCCTCCAACATGCATTTCAGTCTTTATTTAGATTCTTCATKGGTATTTCCCGATCACTCCGTAAGTTGGTGTGCTTTGTTGTATTGGCTAGTCCTCTTTTAAATAGTTGTGTCCCTCAGATGTCTTGTTATCTTGTCCTGTGATCTCTCATTCCTGGAGTAATTGGTCTCTAATGTCTTTTAGGAAATGACCTAAGGCCAGGCCTTGACTTTGTGGGGTTCTGGTGGATATAAAGAGAATAAAGGGAGTGAGACCCAGGGTAAAAAAAAAAAAAATAGTTACCATAAAAGAATCCTTGATCTTTTCTTTTTTGTTTTCACTATTTTTATAGGAAAGCAATATTTAACACTTTTAATCCCTTCAGAGTAAAATCATTAGGATGAGGAAACTTCCCTAGCTCATAACTCATCAGTCCTATGGGAGTATAGCAGAGGAAAACAGAGGATCAAGTGCTCCAGGTGTCTGCTTACTGCAGAGCTGATGGTTCTGATGAACTCCCCAGTCCTTTAGGACTGTTGGTCTGCCCTGAGAGTATACCAGGAACACAGGGACCAGCAATCAGGCCTGTTGTTACAGCCAGTGTCTCCAAGCGATGGAAACAGAGGTGCAAAACAGAGTAAAGCTCTTTCCTTGATTCTGTTCTTTACTGCCTGTGGCCTCTGCCTCTTGTCTGAATCTTTTTCTGGTCCATTAAAATGTGCATTGACTCATGAAGCTTAGAGTTTTCTCTGTGTATTTCTTTTTTTCCCTTTTGTTTTCTCTCTTTTCCATTAATTGCTAACTATTGAAACTCTGTGTCCTCTTTGATTCTGTAGTTTCTGAAGTGGGGCATCTGGGGTGGGAATCAATGTGCTCTCTACTTGACCATCTCAGCTGGCCCTGAAGCTACTTTTCTTCACTATCTGGTGCATAATTGGGTGGGCGAGTGGATAGTCAAGGTCTTCCCCATCTTATCCATTCATTAGCCAGTACTCTGATTTTATTTAGAGACAGTTTCTCTGAATTAAAATAAGGCAGTCTCTCAAACAAAAGAGACTATAGTGACAGAAGGTGGCAATGCTGGTTAAATAAAGAAGAGGGACAGCACAGTTTGAGTCCCAATGGAAGGATTTCTGAGAAAGTTAGAAAGTATCAAATTTCTATATCAAATTTCTGTAAGTAGAAAATGGATTTTGATGGGTGACAGAAGAGACTGGCTGGACAATGTTTAGGATAAGGGAAATCCTTCAGAGGTGCCTGCTAATGTAAATGGAGGAAGATACAATATTAGAAAATTAGATGTCAGTGGTTGTGTTTTCTCCAATGCTTCATGTAATTCGGAGATATTAAAAAGATGTGAAAGGCCAGAAGAATAAAACTCACTGGAAATAGGGTTAGTTCTTAACATTCAAATGTACCTTCTCTAGCTTCCTCCACCCTCACATGCACATATGATCATTCTTTTTGTTTATGTTTTCAGTTAGTGTTTTCCAACTCCCTTGCTCCATACCAGTTTTGCCTGCTTTCTTTTTCAAAATAACAAATGAAGGTTCCTTCTGAGTTTATCTCATTGCTTTTCTAAATATTGTTTCTGATGTTCATTTTTCATGAATAATCACATTTTAAACTCGGAAGTGTTAACTCCTATGCTAGGCATTGGATTGTAATGTATTCAATAGAAGAACCACTATTTTTGATTTTGTTATTGAGAAAATGATAACACTCTTATGAGAGTGTTGTAATGAATTCTTCTGCTCCCGGCTAGTGAGGAGGGGAACTCACACGCAGCCACCATCGCCAACCACATGTGCCATTTTGTTTCTCCGCCCCAAAGGTATCAGTGGTTGTGCTTTTCACTTTATAGATTTCCATTTTTACCACTGGCATAGAAAAGAAGCACCCACCATTGCAAAGAAACTTTGCCATGATAACCGTGTTAATGAACCTCAGTTTTATGCAGGATGGAAGGTACATGGTTGAATCAATGAATTATGAATGAAGGAAGAAATGAGAAGGGTTGTAGCTCCACAATGTTAAGCATATTTCTCAGGACTTCCAACATCTTTCCTTCTCTTCAGGAACCATGATATCCATTTGCACCCAAAGACTTATTTGGGATCCCTTGTAGGAGGGAATCAAAGCAGGTGGGCAGCCAACCTTTTGAGTGTAAGTAATTCTTTTGAAGAATCAGACTTTATGGCATGATGGAAGATTATTTTCATTCTTGAAGATCACAAGGATAATAATATCTATTTGAATCACTCTCTGGAACATACAGGGAAAGATGTACCCCTTATGTATCCCTCCTAAAAAAGTTCCCCAGATCTATGAAGCAATGATTTTGAATGTTACACATAATGTGAAGTTCCCACAAATTACTCCTGTTCCCATTATTAAGTTCATCACAGTTCCATTTAATCCTCATTTTTTTTCTATTTCATGCTATCCAGATCTATACAGATCTAAAAATTTGATTCCTTCCGACAAAGGGATCCCAAATAAGTCTTCCTAAAAATAGATCTGAAGAGACTGATAGTCATGTGTGGTTTTYGCATTATCAAGGGCATGAGAACTGCACCATTGAGTCAAACTGTAGACCGAAGGTGTTTACACTAATAAAGATAAGGATCTTGACATCTTTTGCACACTACTTCTAACCAATACTTTTGGATTATTCTTCCCCTTCCTGYAGTACAAACTAGATGAGATATCAGCAGGCCATGTTTGAAATGAAGAAGAAAGCATGGAATGAACAGGAGACAAGATGAATGGATGAAAAAATGAATAATGTATTTTTTAGAAAAATACACAAATATATATCTTTTGCTTTTATTGACTCTATATTAATTTATACATATACATAATGCATGCATTTCACACAATTTTGACACTAAATGCAATACTAATAAACTATTTTGATTTCTTCAGTTCCTACTATATTACCATATTACTATATTACTATATTACTATATTACTGTATCACTATATTACTATATTACTTACTATATTACTACTATATTAGCACAATAACATCTAAAATATTTTAGCAATATATTATCACATTTGTACTAGAGCTGCCAGAAATACTCTGTTTTCCATGTTTGTAAACAAAAATAACACATCACGTAACACTATGATTGGAAAAATACCTTCTTTTCAATTCTTCCCTTACATTCAGTAAAGGAGACTCAATCTACTTCAGTATCCAAAATACATTTTCGTTGGACAAATATTATTTTCTCTGGTTGCACTAAATATGTTACCAGAACAAATCAATTTCTTGTCTTTTCACAACTAAATCACTTCTGAAAGGCAGTGGCATAAGATGACACAGATGAGATTTGAGATTTGGAGGATTTCAGTGTATCTCACTTAGCATACAAATTACACAATGATTACTCTGATTACTATTACAAATTCACCAGTTAACAACACAAGCTTATTCAGAAATTTTTAAAGATCTTATACACAGAAGTGAAGAGAGATGTGGAAATCTACATTACTAGATTTTAATGAGAAACTCTACTTTTATCTTAACATGCATTAATATGCAGTTAAACTTGTAGCATTTACGTTTTTTTCTTCTTGTTTTGCTAATAGCGGCACACAAGAGGTCAACTATACACTGATTTCTAATTAGCTCTACTGAAAGTTCCTGGAAAAGACTGTGATCTTGTTAAGCTTTGAAGCTGGATGGAAGGCAGCTAATGGACTTACATGGAGTCTTTTAATTACCAGTCCTTAAACACATCTATCTTTACTGCTAGATAGCACCCAAGGGCAAGAGGTAATCTGCTTTATAAACCTCAGAATGATTTGCTTTATAAATCCTGGAGTTTAGGAAAGTGGAAAACTCTTTAAAGAGTCTTTTCTTCCACTAAGAATTATATTTTTGGCAGTTTGTGAAAAATTTAGTGATGGATTCTTTGTGACCTYCCAATTTATAAATGTCAGCCACCAAAGCACAGTCAACATTAAGACCAATTCCTTACAGCACTTAGGGTCTACCCTACCAGAATTATCCAAAAACAAGCTGGGCGTGTAATAGTTCCMGCAAACTGACTCAAGATTTCTTTTTCATTCAAAGCATTATGTTTTCCTGCCAAATGCAGGTCTTGCCTTCCACATCCTTAGTCATCTYTATATGTGAAACCCATTTTTTCTTGCAGAGGTCATGTAATTTGTGCAGTTTACATTGTACGGATGGTAAAATATGTAACCTCAGGATTGATTGAAATAAAAAAATTAAAAATCAGATCCATAGCCAAATACAGAAATATTCTAATTCAAAATCTAGAGTTAAAAAGAAATACCTTGATAGTGATCTTAATTTYTCAAAGGTAGAAATGGCTCAAGATTGACAAGGAGCACCCTGTATCTGAACTAGGTCAATTAAATTGCCTTTCTCTTGGATACTTCCCTCGCATTCCTAAGACATGCCGCATCTCAGTCCTGGATGAATGATGGAGTTCACAAGTTGCAGWGGGAGACTCCATTCCTAGACTGTCTCCCAAAGCAATAGTACCAAGAATCACTTTCTTCAAATTCACTATGGACAAATTCACTTAATAATTCTTCACAAATGATATGCTCAGCTCCTGGGGGGATGGGGATCGTTAAATGCATGATCTATCTTTCCCCCAGGAAATGAAGGCTCAGTGATCACGATGCTGTGTGTGCTTCACATTCAAGCGGATGACTCTTACTCGATGATGTTCATGGGGATGATCTCAGCACCCTCCTCGCCTTGGTTGTTGGCAGGCTCATTCCTAGGCTCCTGGTGGCAGATGTACACCGGGAGGTCGCCCTCCTCAACAGCGGCAGCAGCGGCGGCGGCGGCGCGAGCGGCAGAGCGGCGGTTGGGGCGCCTTCCCCAGCGCTGGTCCCATTGGATTTTGAACTGCATCCATTGGCGCTTCACGGTGGTTTGGACCTGGAAGACGAGAGGGAGCCTTGTTTTCATATGGTGGTCAGAAAGGACCCAAGCAAAGCTTAGGCACGTGACTCTTGGAGTTTATCAGAGTTTTACAACACATCGAATTGGTAATTCTGATAAGAGGCTGAGTTGTATGTTATTCGGTGGTGCAAGAGGTCATCTTAGAAGAACGTGCAAACTGGAGGACTGAGTTACATGCCAACACKGGCTATTTTTGAGCAGAAGTTTCTTCTTTAGCTCTTATATTCAGTGAACGAAACTTGATTTGGTTTCATAATGTGTGCATGTCATATTATGGAAGAAAGGTTTAGGAAACTTTTAATCTGCTACCATCCATGATAAGGAAAGATTTCATCGAAATCCACACACTGTTGATGGTGAAATACATATGGAATTCATCACACAGTTCTAGCTTTTATGATAATGGCCCCATCGTGTGAATTTACCCTCATCCAASGTGGCTTGAGATGAGGTCTGTCAGATAAAATTCCTGCTAATGCAGTGACACACTTTTAATAAGAAAAAATAAGATTTCAATCTCTTTCTATTGAAGACTTCTAACATGTAAATAAACCAAACTTGTTTTATAAATATGGCAAACTATATACTGAACACAAGAGGTGGAGAAAATGCTAAAGTCAGGGAACTCTAAATATGAAAACTACAATAACCACAASTGAAAACCACAGTAATTTTGCTTGTTTAGCTCTACTTTTTACAGAACTGAATTCATTTTAGTAGTTAAGTTCATCCTTCATGTTGTCTCTGAACTTCTTGATTTTTCTCTATCACTGAACAAAACTTAAAAAGAGATTACTGCAATACTATCTATTCCATATTTTAAGCATTTCTATTGCTTAGTACATAAGTCAAGCTTATGTACAAAATATTTGCCTTAACTTATTAATAGATCCCTAGTTCTTTCTGTTGCCAAACTTGAAATATGGCAGCTACCCACATGCAAGAGAATCTGGGAAAAATACAACATGAGATTAATCATGTATCTAGTCAATCACAGGATGCYATTTTGCCTATTTTACATTGGTATGAATTTGAAAGAAGATGAAAATAACAGCAAAACCAATTGATATTATAAAACATGTATAATGTAAGGCTAAATGTATCTATGGCAAATACATGCACATTTTTTCTTTATATAATAGAGTAACAATCTCTCCTTATAATTATTAGCTTTGTTATATAATTTTATAGATTTTACTCAGGAGAAGGCAAATTCAAATAATTCATTGAAAAGCCAGTCAAGCAGCCATGAAACTTATAGTGGGAGAGGTTCATCATCACTCAATGGAGCAATCAGAAGGCTCAAGGTGACAAAGAGCTATGAGAATTATTTGGCAGTCTGAGATTTGGAATATTAGACTTTTCAAATCACTGAGGTGACAAGCCCTGGTAATAAGTACTTGGTTACAAAGTACTTTATGTCTAATTACGTTCAAAAGAGACAAACAAGACAAGTACTGCAAGTGCTCAGGAGTGAGGTGTGCCTTACAGCTGGACTTTGCATTGATAAAAGCCACATAGGGGGAGAAAGGATGGCATAAAGAATTTTGGCTACTGTTTACTGGGTGCTTTCCCTGTGCAAAATCATAATCACTGGGTTGGTTAGCTTGTTCAACAGGAGGGAACCACGATTAGCCTCATTTTATAGATGGGAGGGCTGTGAATATGCCGTATGTCCTCAGTAAGAGACCTGGAATGTGGCAGAGCCACAGTCCCAAGTGAAGTGTGGCTGTAGGTCCTTAAATGCCAGCTTTAGAATCTAAAACCCACCACATGTTTTATTGAGAAACTGAGAAAGATACAGGCTCAGTGTATTTTTTTTTTTTTGAGAATCAAAGTCCACAGAGAATTGATAATTTTTGATGGATTTAACATCTCTTAAATACCAAGACCGTCCTTCCAGCTAAGCTTACACAGATATTTACAGGTATCTGAGGTAGACTTTTAACAAATTTGCAAGTGTCCAGCAGGAAAACAAGTCTTTATTTCTGCCTCACCTGTTCTTTTAAAGTAATCCCCATCATAGTATCCATGTGTATTCAAGTGTACCTAGCCCAGCAGCAACAAGGGTTGGGGTCTGTTTTAAGGTTATTATTATAGAAAGTTTACAGCATTCGCTAATTGCATTCCAAAATTATAACTCATCCTTTTGTGTGGAGATGTCAATCTGCTTCAATTTGTAAACCACACAGATGAGAACAAGCCCTGAGCAGCACATAAAAGACACTTTAATAATTATAGTTTAATAAGGGCAATATCGCCTGCAATAATATGGGTTGAATCTGATGCTGCTTTGATGACAAGAATAAGGGCATAAAATATGTACCCCTAAAAATAAAAAACAAAAAGAAAACAACCACATTAGGAGACTTTTGTTGCTTCTGAAAAAATAACAGAAATGTTAGGAGATGTCAATGGGTAACTAAAACATAAAGTTGTGAATTACATAAATGTATCTATCACTCATTTAAAAAACAATGAACACAAATCACTTTACTTTTTTTTCCTGATTATATCAATTTACTTGTTGCTACTTTGAAAATTAGAGCGTTGTCCTGATGGTTTGAAGACATGGTTATTACACTTAGCTTTATTATTAAGCTATGTAATATTCGTATATTTGGGCCTTAGTTCTTGCATCTATGAAAAAAAGTCAAGGTGGGATCTCTATAGTTGGGTTTAAGTAGTTTTGATTTTCATCTTTCTTTTCCAGGTAAATTCATCCTAAGTGCCTATAGTTACGTAGTGTTGAATGAAAGGTGGGGATTTTCCTTCAATGAATGAAAAGGTTTTGAGTCCTGGTCCTTCATGTCCTCACTTTCTGTCACCACAATCCAACAGACCTGCTACAATCTTAATCTAAGACTAAAAAAAAAAAAATCATGATTTTAAAAAGCACTTTACATTTCTTGGAAATTAAAAAGCAATTGCACACTTTCAATGGTTTTATGTAAGTTTTAGAAACTGGATCCCTGTTGAAGCCCATTAATTAGATGCTTTGGAACACTTCCAAGTTGTTAACTGATTTTTTTTTTTTATTCGTTTGGAGTACATATCAGAAACATCTCTAGTGATCTCTGGTTTCATTTGCGGAATTTAAATGTTCTGTAATTTGAGGCAATGGGGTACTTGATGATTATAAGATCAGGGCTTTTAATTCCCTTTCATTACCCACTTTCCTATGTTTAAAGGACAATTTCTTGTTCTAAAGAAGAATAAATATCATTTGTAATATGGTTTAAAATCTTGAAAATATTTAGCAATTGTATTTCTTAAGTTTTTTAACATTCCCCTGTATTTCCTTCATTCATTAAGTCAAGGTCATTTATTGTTTGAAGAACAAGCTAGTTTATCTAGAACAGTGGTCCTCAAAGTGTTCTCTGAACCTGTGGCCCAAGTACTATCTGGGAACTTATTAGAAATGCAAATCCGAAAGTCCTRATGAGCAGCCTCTGCTGGTGGGGACTAGCAGTCTGTGTTTTAACAAACTTTTCAGGTGATTCTGACATTCACTAGGTTTGAGAATGCTGGTCTAGAATAAGGAAATTATCACTTAGCTTTGAGTCCTCAGTAGACTTTCTTGGATCTCTAGAAAGAAAATAACCCCTTGAAATTTATTCCTCCTATCTAACTGTAATTATATATCCTTGGACCAACATCTTGCCTGCCCCAAATTTTAGAAAATTGAAGGAAAAAAAAAAGAAGATAGTTTTGAAAAACATTTTATTTAATGAGAGAATTTATTAATAAAAATTCTTCTTTGCCTATGTAATAAAAAGTTAATTGATCTGAAAACAGAGTTTTACTAAAAGCCATAGTGTAGAGAAAAAGTCGGATATGGTTTAGGGAGAGTCTTTTACAGACAGGAAGGGTAAGTGGTGCATGCAGGCCCCTTGCAATTCTGAGAGGAAGAGAAAAGTGGGAAGGATACAGAGACACAAATGACCTTCAATTTCCCCTTCATGGTGGAAGTTCTGGGAAAATGGGGAGAAGAAAGCAAGGGATAACTTGCTTTCTTCGATGTACCCTTATAACAGCAGGCCTTTCTTATTGATTCCAAGAGCATAATCTTGAAAACTGATAACCCTGTAAAGAAGTCCCACACTTGCCCTGACACCATGTCCAACATGGTGTTCAAGCCGTGGAGTGGCAATGGCTGTGGACTGTCCTGAAGACAGAACCACAGGCTCTAGGAAGTATAAAGAAAGGGGCTGAAGTCCCCACCCTCCTCACATGGCTTGGAGGAAAACCACTGAATCAGAGTAGGGCTGTGACTTGATCAAGGAGACGACAGACGGAGAAGACCCCCTAGGGTCCTCAGAAGTGAGAGAAGCTGCAAGAAATCTCAACAGCAGGTGCTGGCATTCATACTTGGTAACCAGCTGCCCTTTTGGACAAAAGCTTTTGAACTAACTGCTTTATTTTCCACAATGAGACTTGTGAACCACTAGAGGCTACTGGAATGGGCTCTTGAATGCAAGGAAAGTTACAGCAAATAAGTTTTAGTTTTCACACGCTCTGATCATGCTTCTTTGATCTACAAACTTTTATCCACAACTCTTTTGAGCACTAGCCAAAAATATGAAAAAGGGAGAAAAATCTAGTGTGTTATTAGTACTATTAATTCTAAGTTACTCTTTAGAAACGAATTGTACATCTTCATAGCTGTAGCCATCTTTTTGAGGTCCCTTAATACCTGATAATTTATTAATATGTTTGGATAATTAATATCCTCACACTTGGAAGAGCTGTGAGAAATGCTTGATACATAAGTATGCTCTTGTGGACATCTCCTGATTTCCATTACTTTAATTCTCCATTTTTTTTCCCTGTTTCTCATCTACCAATGGACTCACTATATGATCCACCTCCAGAAGAGCAATCACTGATTACATACTGATAACAGTTCAAAATTAAAATTTACATCTTTCCATTGGACAACTGACTTATTTGTCCCCATCCATCTCTGTTAAAACTCAATATTCAGCCAGGCAGAGTCCCCTCACAGCTCTGTCTCAGAGGCAGCTGGAAATAACTTCCGGCATATGTGAGTGCCCTGCCTGTGTTCAGTGTTGTAAGGTGATATGTACACAGAATGCCSGACTGAGACCCAGATGCCTGAAATCCATAGGGCTGTGATATTACATTTGGCACAGTACATGGTTTCTGTATTATTAGAAATGTCACACTTGCACTTTCTTCCAGTAACAGGATCTTAATGAAAATAGGTATGGTCTCTTTACTTCAGAAAACAGATAGCATACTCAAATGAACTCAGAGACRTTTCAATTGTTAGGTGTGCCCCTGGGATTGCTTCCTATGCCTGACACTCCCAAAGACAGCATCATAGTTGAGACACAATAAAAATTGTGGTATTTTTACAAATGCATGCAATCCTCTTGTGCTTTACAARGCAGTCTCCTCCTGGATATGGTTTTTATATTAGCCCTATTTTGATATTATTTTAGATTAAAAAATTTTATCTTGCATGTCACCTGAAACAAATCAAAAGGCATAGATATGCATTCACAGAGTATTCGCTAGTTTAGTACTGTACATAGGACAATGTAAGCTCTTCTCATTTATTAGTTTTTGCTATTCTGAAAATGAAAAAAAAAAGAATTGGGAGGATACTCTAATAGTTGGCACCAGAAGGATCTTGATTATATCTAGCCCCTTGTCAAGCTCCTAGAAATAGTAAGTACACAATATATTTCTGTTGAATGATGCAATGAGCTCTTGGATGAAGGAATGATGGGAGGAAGTAATAAAATCTACCAAWGAAAAGGTAATAATAAAAACATGGCCATGTTGGGGCTGGAGATAGGTAACATCATAGAGCAGGAAAATAYTTTAGGTGCTCAATAAATATCATTTTATGAAAGAAATAGAGAATAAAAAATAAGTATCAACTAACAATGGTTAGAAAATATTTCTAATTACTAACAGGAAAATAATGCTGATATCTTAAAGTATGATTTTTCTTGCATTGAATTGTTCTTGATAGGAATTAATTTAAATGATCAAAAATATGTTTGCATTAAAAGTTTTGTGGTTTCATAAGAAGCATATTCTACTTTTGCAAAGCTCTAGGGAAGAATCAGAGACACAGATAATTTATTGAGATTTAGTTAATTTAATTGGGAATCAGAAAGTCTAGGCTCCAGTCCTGGTTACCACCACAGCTATGTTTGTGCACGGGGCAAATTACTTGATCTTTCTAGAGCTTAGATATCTCACTTGAAAAATGAGGAGTTTTTAAAATCATGTTCTCTGAAAACCCATGAGTTCTTTAGAAGAACTTCTGGGGTTACAGCAGCTCCTTTTTTTTTTTTTTTTTTTTTTTTTTTTCTTTTTTTGATGGGACTCCCAGGTAAGTTACTGTTGGAAGAAAGAGTAAAAACCCTGGTGCAAAAACCCTGGCCTAATGGATCTCTAGGTGCTACTAATACAAATATTCAATATAATAGACTATTTATTTGGAGATCTTTTTAGTTTTAACTGCAAGGTGATTTTTTAAGTGCTGAGTAGTGGTCCAATAGTAGCATCAAGAAACTGGAAAAATAGGCTAACAGATTGTACAAACTGGCCGGAGGCTGGTTCTGTACCAGCAAGGGCTTGGGGCCTTTAGAGGAATAGGGGAAGCTGGTTCTGTACCAGCAAGGGCTTGGGGCCTTTGGAGGAATAAGGACTTGCTTCTCCCTCTACGGGAACCCAGAATGGCTTTCACTATTACTACTGGGGGTGCTGACCAGCTCAGGAGGCAACCCCAGAAGATCAGAACTTAGCTGCATGTCTGGATCTTATTGTAACTATACCCCATTTCTATAGGTAATATCCAGCTAAAGAAGTGGAAAAAACACAGTCCTATTAATTATGAAGGCCTCTGAGGTCAACTGTAGAAATAAGATCAAATGAAATGTGGAGACCATAAAATACTGGCTTTATATAAACAGCCAATTGTATTATATGAAATGAATGCAGACTTACCTCGTTGTTGCAGAAGCAGTAGATAGTCGCCACGAAGAATCCCTAAAAAGAGAAGGGAAAATAGAGTTAAAGTTATTTTTGTGTGCACTATGTTGTCAATCAAAATATATTTATATCAATATAAATAGGTTGCCTTGGGGGGTATTTTACTCTTGCAATAGCATGTCAAACTTGATGATGTATAAAGGTAAGAAAAATAATTGTCTTCCACTCATACTCAGTGCTACATTATAAGAATATTTTATTAGAAATTTTTCTTGTTAGGATTCTATCATTTGGCAACTAGGACAGCTCTAGTAAATCTTATTAATATAGTTCTCTTTTTAACTTGGAGATTTTTAGCATAATATATGGATTAAAGTGGATTTGAAAAGAACTTGGTACTTAAAAATGTAAAAACTGAGATCATCGGGTTCAGTAGAGAAATCTTTTACAAACACCAATATCAGAGTGCATGGCTGTCAACGTGTGTCCTGAAATTGTGATAGTACTCACAACCAAGTTCATCTCTCAAATAAGGACATAGACTAGGTAATCTCTAAGGACCTGGTAATCTTGGGCTCAGAAGATTCCTTGTGCCCAAGCTTTAATCACAGCCCAAACAACAGCTCAGTTTATTAAAACAACCCCTATGCTTTCTTTTAACTCAATAAAATTCAGTCGTTTTCACATTAAACCCTGGCAGTRAAAAATAAAACTAATGTGAGTAGAATTTCCTTTGCCTGAGGACCCCTACCCTGACCCCTTCATGCACTACTTTGTTCTCAAAATACCTAGCAGTACACCTTCAATGGAACTGTGAATCTGGGCAGAATGAATGAAAATGCAACAGCCATTCCTTTGAATGTTGCAGACTTTGGACAGCTTAGGACAGTCTCTGAGAGCCACCTCCATTATCTCCTACAAGAGGAGACCCCCTGTACATAACTTTCCTTTACAGCTAGTAAACTGYCAAGAATGGATTTCTGACATGGCCTCACAAGTGGAAGGTAAAAGAGCAGAGGCAGTTCTGTACAAATTCATTGCTCCTCATTACCCCTGAGTCAACATTTGTTTATTAAAGGAAGGTCTGACAATTATGTGTGTGATTAGCTGCCTAGGTGGGGCCATTTGTGGGTCCTGGAAGTGACAGGCGAGTAGGCATGGAATGTGGAAACAAATGCCTTTAAAAAAAAAAAAAAAAGATTCCCTTCTGAAGTTTGGTGAACAAGTCACCTAATAAATATGCTACTAGCTGCCTTACCTGGAAGTGGATCAGAGAATGCATGAGGTAATCATAGATCTTCCCAAGCACCTTGTTGGAGGGCCTCCAGGGAAAGACAACAAACTGGATTCCGAGCAGGGGCACAAGGAACATGGTAGCCTTCACAGCCTTCAGGTACATGCGGGACTCCGCCTCATGGCTCTCCCTCATCTTGGTCACAAGCACCCGGACGATGTTGAGCAGAAAGAAGAAGTTGACCTACAAAGATATGAACATGAGCAAACCATGGAGACACCTCCATTTAAAGACATCTACTGTCCCCAGTTCTCATGTATCCAGTGTGGAGAGCAGGAGAGATCGCCTGAGATGTCACATAATTAGTTTAGCTTCCTGAACTACAAATATGGGTAACCAGACTCTTTTCAGGTCTGTATTCTTATTCTCTTTTATTTTTTTCCTTAAATGAGAAAATATTTCCCCTGTACATGTAAATACATGAAGTTCAACTGCAATGCGGCTATCTATTCGTTATTTAGATGTTATAAACTGTACACAAGGAGTTGACACTTGATGTGTTGCCATCTCATGTCACAGCACATCCTGGGAAGACCTYGCCATCTTGTCCTTTCTTTATCAAGATGTCCCCCTTATCCACCTCTACTTGACTGAAAGCAAAGTGAGGACTAAAAAATGTATCCGTAAAGTCTGTATGTAGCAGAGACCGCTAATCTTGTCTTCTTTTCTAAGTAACATTTTAAAGGAAATAACCCCATGGAATTATAATCAGCATTTAAATAAAATGTGGGTTTTAAGCAAACATTGGAGAGGTTTAGACAAATGTATGCACCTGTGTGACCACCACTCCAAAGACAGGGAGCATTTCCATAGCCCCAGAAAATTCTGTCCCAGCTCCACCTCAAGCAACCACTGGTTTATATTATTATGGGATGGAATATCATATGGAGAGGCCTCTTTTGTGTCTGGCCACTGTGGTTTAACATACTACCTGTGAGATTCATCCATGTTGTGCATTTGAGCATTCCACTCATTCTACTCTTTGTACAACTACTCTATTATGAGAAGAGTATAGATAATTTGTTTATTCTTCCCTGTTGATGGAAATTAGAGTTGTTCCTACTCTTTGTGTATCACAAATAAAGATTCCATGAACATTCACATTTGAATTATGTGGGTKGGCAGATATTTTTGTTTCTTTTGAATAGACACCCAGTAGTAGAATCACCTTTCAAACAATAAGAGWATGTTTTTAAGACACTACCAAACTGGGCTTCCAAAGTGGTGGYTTTATTTTACTTTCTCTGCAGGAGTAGTATATTACTGCTCTTCACCCTGGCCTACACTTGGTATGGTCAGCTTTTTTACAGCGGCCATGGTTGCGGTATAGTGTTACCCCATCCTCATTTTCATCTACAGTTCTCTGAAGATTAGTGMGTTTGAGCACCTTTTCATAAAAAAATCTGGAATATTGCAACTGTCTCCTTGTCTTTTCACTCTCTAAACATCATCTTAGTTAAATATAGGCAACTCATCAATATCTTCTTCAAGAAGTCTATGTATTTGCTTTAGAAATCTTTTCTTACCTCAAGCTCATGAAGACATTCACCTAAGGTGTCTTCTAAAAGCCATTGTTTTGTTTTTCACATGTAAACCTACAATTTACTACAATTTACTTAGAATTCATATTTTGTGTTGGGTGTGATGTCAAGGATATCCTTTCTTCTTATTCACATATCTAATTACCAAACATATGTTCAATATTTTTTTTTCAGTATGTATCTCCAACTGAACATCTAGCTATAGAATTCTTAGAAAATACATCAACATTGTTGTTATGGTGTGTATAAACATGAGCTTAGGGTAACCTCTCCCCCATAAATAAAATACATTTTTTTTAAGAACCGAATTGCTTTCCTCATTTTAGAATATAGCTAAATTGTACTTATTTTGAAGTACCTGTACTACATAGAAGTATGKTCACAAAAATCCCAACAAACAGATAGCACTGTTAATAATGGATTAAAAACCAGTTCTTACCACCAGCGCCACCATCACAGGGCCATGGATGATGTAAAGCAGATGGGTGTCCACACTCAGCCAGCAGCTGAAGAAAAGGAAGGGAACACATGAGCCCAAATGCATTTTATTTATGTATTTATTAGCTGAAAAACCACCTTCATACTTACTTGTCATTGAAGTACAGAGCCCTGGTAATCGCATGGATAGTGCACGGCACCAGCGGGAACCCTTAAAATGTAGAAAAGTACAAATCACACTTGGTTCCTTGGCCATATGCTATAGCTCCAGTTGCATGGAAAATGGTCACATACTTGCAAAATATAGCAGCAAATTTAGTGTGTCTGTCAAGATACTGCCCTGATATTTGTGCACAGATTATCTTTGGTCAAGGCAGGTAAAAAWTTCCTGATTAGAACAACATGCACTTTCAGAGAGTTTGGTTAGGAGCTTTCAGATAATTGAAAACTTTTCACAAATTGCCCTACGTAGCAGGAACATTTTAACATTCAGTATGATTCTTACTACCATTGTTAGGTCTTTGATGATGATGATTTTTGTTGTTGACTGTTAACTGAGTCTAGGCTCTCAAACATGAACAGGAGCTGGGTCACACTGGAGGGATGTCACTTGGGCAGTGTGTGGGAGCAGTAATCTAATTGCTTCTAAAGTCTTACTTGATAGTCACATTATTTCTTCTAGGTTCTCATTTTTCTATCTGTTTATATGATGTGCCTTGACTCTGTTTCCTTTTAATACAAACACTCCTGAGAAGCTAATGTAGCCCCTGTCCTCTAAGTTCTTACTGTAGGACCTTAATTGGAGACAACTGTGTCACTTCCTTCCCTAAACTCAAAAGTRCTAGTAAGAAACACCTTTGAATATCAACAGAACAATGGAGATAGCTACTGGTGACATGGTCTGCCAGAGCACATCTTTTAAAAATAAATTTCATTCTATAAATGAAATTCAAAGTTGTGATTTTTCTTAAAAGTGATTTTCCTTTTACTGAGTTCTACCTATGTGCATTAGAAAATAGTTTGACTGATTGAAACATCTGTAGAAGGAGATTTTTGTTATTATCATCAGATGAAGAAATTCATCTCTGGAGAGAACTAAACCCACACATTTTTATTTTCTGTGAATTATATGGAAAAAGAGAAGGTCTCAAAAAAATTKAGTTTTACTTAGGAATAATCTCAGCTTCCAAACTCATGAAGCATGTATTTCAATATGACCACTAATTAAATGTTTGGCCGGAAATAATTTTAAGTTGGACTGTTCACTCAAAATATGATTGTGCTATTCACAGTGGCTCCAACATACTACTTCCCCATTCGAGTTCAGAAACAAAAACTCATTTTCTGCATTTATTCTGACATACATATTTTAGAATTAGCAAAAGAGGCATATATGCTTTTATGCTCATGCCATAGAAAGTGTCTCCACCTTAATCTAGAGGGGTATGGACTCCATATTTCTAACTCCTTGTGTTCTTCAATTTCCTCTAGCCATTGTTCTTTCTTTCATGCAGTTTTTTTTCTTTCCTCTTCCTCTAGGCCCCAAGATCTGTAGCAACCTATTCCTCCCACCAAAGATGGTGAGGGTAAGAATAATTCTTTCTCTAGAGGATTCTTCTTTTCAAGGAGATTCATAAATTCTATTTGTTCATTGTAAAAGTACATTTTATTTATAAGTCTATTTATAAGTCTCCAAGACCCAGATTAGAAAACTCTACACATTTAAACAGAAGCAAARCTCAACTGAACGAAATACATACCCCAGCCCAGAAGGTAATACCACCACAGACGTTGCCCCTCAGCGAACACAGACACCACGATGAGAGTATGGAGATAGACCCCTTCGCAGAGCATCCAGAAATAGTTGCAGGCCATCATGTACTGGTGGAAGAAGTGCAGAATCTTGCAGCTCACCTGTTATGAAGAAATGAAGACACTCAGTGGAAGTCGCAGGTAAAGATCTGGCGTGAACCAAGGGTAAATGCGAATTTGAGCCAAAGTGTCTCCATCCAGTTTACAAGGCAGTGTCCCCAAGCATCTGCCAACATGTGCCACCTCTATATCAACAAATCAAAGTGACATTGTACAGATCACAGACGATACATGTAAACAGCCATATGGGCCAATGAAAGCCAAGTCCTGAAAATGTTCTTTCCCCAGTACATTGCTAGACAAAACAGGTTCATTTTCCTGCAGTCCATCTTATATTATAGAAAACATGCAAGGATTTGTCACATGGTTTTTATCACATTTTTCTCCCCTCTGGTCAATGAGGCAAAATAATCCCGGCATTTTTAATGTTGCTCCTGGAGTCTATTAATCTGCTGGTGTTGCTGATATCTCTTTGGCAATAACAAGGATGGATCTCATGCATGGCCTAGGAGCCGATGTTGAACACAGGTGATGTTCCTGCTTTAGTTTTCATATGGGAGCATGGTTTTCTACATTGGGATCCAAATGCTTGTCAAACCCTCGCTGGGCACAGAGATTAGAATAGCTTTCTCCCTGGCTACTCAATGCAGATTTGGAAGCCACACCTCTGGAGTATCAAATTAAGTACATATTGTTATCTGTATAGAAACATTCATATCTTAATTTGCAACACAGAATATCTTAAGTTATTCCCTAGTTACTCTGGAGGAGGGTTTCTCACTTAGACACCATTGACATTTGGGGTGAGATCATTTTTTACTTGTGAGGGGCAGCCCCATGCCTTTTTGAGGGTTTAGCAGTATTTACCTCCATTCAGTAAATTACAGAAGCATTTTCCACCCAGTCATGATGATGAAAAAAATCTCCAGATAGTGCCATGTCCTCCAGGGAGCAAAATGTCCCAGGTTGAGAACCACAACCTGCGGGTATCTAGCTGTGCYTATCTCCCAACAACCACAATCACAGCAACATCAGTGACAACAGAATTGATCGCTCAAGACCTAAGATAATAGGGAGCAGTTATTGGCCTTGTTAATTGAATGTTTCCTTTACCCTCTGTTGCTCCTCCTTGAAACATTAGAACACCAAGAACTGTAGTGCTGTTAAATATTCAGATTTTTTTTTTTTTTTTGCTAGGCTATTTTTTTACTTTCTCCTCATGGGGCCTCAAACATTTGTATTTTAGATTTTTAAGCCCTGCCTCACAAGTCCCTGAGTCTCTATTTATCKCTCCTGTATTCTCTATTCATCAAATTAGTAATTTTTATTGATTTATCTTCAGTTTTGCTGACTCCTTCCTTTGTCATCTCCACTCTGCAATTAAGCCAATCTRGTGTGATTTACTTTTAAATTTCAGCTGCTTTATTATTTGGTTCTAGAATTTTCCAGGTCGTTCTTTTTTAGCAATTTCTATTTTTTTTGGCTCAGGTGTCCTGTCTTTTTTATTTACAACCTGAGGTAGAGCTGAGATAAGCTACTTTAAAATTTTTGTCTGCTAATTTTAACATCTGGGCCAACTCAGGATCTATCTCAATTGTATTTTCCCTTGTGATGGGTACTGTTTTCTTAAAACAAAATTTTTATGTCTGGTAATTTTGAATTGTATTCTGGATACTGTAAATGTTATGTTATACAATCTAGATTCTGTTATATTCCTTGAAGTTTTCTTCCTATTGTTCGTKTTAGCAGGAACTTACTTTGGGTAAATCAATCCAAAGTGCTTATTTCCTGTGAGGTTGGTAATGTGAATCTCAGTTCAGGTAGTTTAGACTTAGCTATGGTCTGGATTCCTTTGCACACACGTGGTTGTGGGGTGGGCCAAATTCTGAACTTAAGTAAATACACATATCTGAGATTTATTTTCCTCACATTTATTCTCTTCACTTTTTAGTTCTATCATAGCCCTAAATCTGTGAGAGATTTTGCTAGATAGAAGCTAGTTAGCCATCACCATTTTGTTTTAAATCATTTTTAGATAATGAACCACTAGAAAATATATTCTGTAACATTATGTGAAAATTATGATAGTAGGGTATTCACATAGCAACCTTTAAGTTTTAATCATAAAGTTGGAGAATCATCATTGGTTTTGACATGTAAGTAAAGTGAAGATTAATAAATGGCAGAGAATACCTTATTCCACTTCCATTATTCTTGGCATTATTCCCCCCACCCTGCCCCTAAGTCAATCATACACTCTTAATCCGAATTCAATTTTTCCCTTCACAGGCTTCWGAAATAGATAATGCCAATCATGTTTTATGTGCCATTGAGCCTTCATCTCAGAAGCACTGCCATCTTGGTTGCCTCATCTACATTTATCTGGTCTCCCTTCCAGCAGCCTCCCTTGAGCCAGGCAGGAACCTCTAGTTCTCACCCCGGAATTCATCATCTCTAGCGCTTCACTTCCAGCCACTCTTTCCAACCTGATCTTCCTGTGATGACCTAGGATAAAGCTRTGGCCTTGTTGGGCAGTCCAACTGTTCTGAACAAATGAGGGCTATAAGAAATTCATGTTGTTTTTCAGAACTTGGAACTCATTTGGCTTTACTTATACAAGAAGCTACAGAAAATGTAACTCGATTGTTTCAGCTTTTGAGGTACAAAAGTGCTCAGGTTCCTAGGAAAAACTAATCTCCTTATATTGTCCCTCTCATACYCAGATAAAAAGTTCAGAGAGACATTTATTTCTAGAAAATGTGACAAGTATCCTGCCAGCTTCCTTTAGATGCAGCAAGAACAATGCTTTTAATYCTGCAATCTGACTCTACATGAAGATCATCAAATGAATAGATAGAACAAAAAAATGAAATTTTAGATATTATGGAAATGAAATACTCAAATGACATAAATGACAATGGGCAATTTTCACATCACTCAATAAACTGAGGATCTATTCAGTCCTTATTTATTCCAGAAGTTATTTTGAGTTTAACTTAAAAAAATAAAATAGAAGAATGTGAGAAATAAGATTCTGATCCTTGGCCAGACAGGAGAGAATATGCCTGACCAAAGGCTTCTGAGAGAAAAAACTGACTACTTTGATGCAGAAGGAACCTCAACCCCGCAGGGATTCCCCACTGAGGGCTGAGGACACTTCTTTTTCTTTCTCTCTCTCTCTTTTTTTTTTTTCTTCTTATTTTGCCCTCAACAAAATAAAACTCTCATAGAAGATGTGCAAAAAAAACATTTGGGATGAGGCAGCCTCCCACTTCAAGAAATAGCTTTCTTTTTAATATATTCCCTTTGGTATTGAGTAGAGAAAGCTTTGTGCCTCTTAACTACTGATTCAGTGACCTGAGAATAGGGTCAATATGAAAAAGTAACTCTTTGCTTTTGTTTGCTTAGGAGGGAAAATGACTTTAAAAGTTAAGTATTTTGTTTTTCTTTAGAGGCAACATAGAACTAAATCAGAGACGGTCTGCTGATGAGTCTGCTTTTCTTTAATTTATGCCTATGGTTATATTTTCATGTTAGTTGCAATTTCAATTAATATTTATAAACTGAAAATGTCCAATRACTCTCCTTTTTCCAAAACTTTCTACTGTTTCATTGATTGATTGATTGATTGTCTCTTATGTTTTCTTTCTTGTTTTTATTTTTCTTGGTTAGGGAGGACCTTAATCAAATGTTCTCTGGAATGTCAGTTTTTCAAGAAGAATGTAATATTTTAAACCCTGAATTTAAAGTAATTTTAAACATATGATTCTGCATGTGACTTAATGTTGATGGATGACTGGATTCTCAGTCTTTGGATACTATTACATCTGTCTCTTTATAAGTGAAGAACTTTTCTCCTAAGAGAGGTAGGGCTTTAGAAAAACTTAAGTCTTTCCTAGTTCTCATTTCTTCTTCTTCTTTTTTWAAATAAATATWTATGTTGTYGATTGACCTTTATCTATCTATCTATTTATGTATTTATATGTGGTGCTGAGAATCGAACCCAGTGCCTCACGCATGCCAGGCAAGTGCGTTACTGCTGAGCCATAGCCCCAACCCCTCTTGTTTATTCTTCATATTCAAGTTTATCACAGCAGGGACATTTCTTCTTTCTTGATACCCAAATTTATTGCTTCAACTACAATCCACTTAAACTTTCGGATGAGAAAAGACTCAAGAAATTGGGCTTCTTTGAATGCCTTTATGATAGAATACGCACAAAGTAGGTCTTTGCTACCTTTTCTTGAACTAATTTCACTTGCCTAGAGAGAGCTGTCCTATGTTGTTTATATATGGAAGGCTAGGTAAGAGAGTCAACAAAATTTTTGATGAAAAATAATGACTGTTCAAATAGAGAAAGCACTAAAAAAAAAAACCCTAGATTAAAAAACAAAACAAAACATTAGTTATTTTTTAAAACTAGTTAATTTTCCTCCTGAGTCAAGTGTATGCTTCATAATTCACCAGCATGAACTAATTTTCAACATCGATTCAGCTAGTTTTAGCCRACACGATATTCACATGTATTTGGTGAGAGCCATGTGTTTCCCTATTTTGTCTAATGGAAGAAACAAACATTTGGGAATGTGAAATAGGGCACAGCGTGTGTTCTCATATCATGACATCACTTCATTTGCCATGTAAGTTGAGTTCCAGCTGGTGACCCATTCTCATTTTGTCTAGCCTCAGTGGAAAGGGATTCCTCTTGTGGGTGCACAGAGAAAACTATCTAGATTTTTGTTCCTTTGTTTTTCATGGGGGTGGGGTGGGGGAACAGCACACTCAAGAATAGGTTAAAATATGTCTGAATCCCACCTGTACAGTTGTCAAATACGTGGGGGCTGTTTCTACATGACACTGGATTCATGTTTAGGGATGGTGAATGGGTCAGAGGTATCAGTGTGAGGCAGGAGAGGATCTACCTGTGAATTTACAGTACTTCACAATAGACTGAGCACTGCTCCCAGGTCAGTGGGTGATGATTCAATAACTGAAGTGCCGTTTCCTGGCCTACTTCCTWCAGGCGGTAACTTTCTCAGGGTTTCCAACCTTAGTGGAAAATGGAAGGCCAAATATTTGACTCCTCTTCGCTTAGCAAATTGCTTCTACATTATTTTAAATTTGGTGGGGGTCAGCTTAACTAACTCTGGTGTGCCAGTCCAATTGTTGACAATCATTGCTTTGGAATGGCTGAGCCCACTTCTTTTATCACATGTATCTTCCTAAGGAAATAAAGACAGACTGTGGTGTAAAGAGAGACAGTCTTGTGTGAGACAGGTCCATATTTGAATTCCATTTCTAAGTACTCACAGTATGGGGGGGACACTTAGCTTCGCTGAGCCTCAGTTTCCCAGCTTTAAAAACGGGGATAATATCCTTCTCACTGAGGTCTTGTGAGGATAAAATTAAGTGAGATAAATTTTATTTAAATCAATTAACACTGGAAAAGAAAAACTCATCAAAATAAACCCCATTTGGTCACATTATTCTTCAGGTAAGACAGGACTTTGTCTCTGATAACAGATGTCATGGTTTTAAAAGATGGATCCTAATGCCTTTCTGGATATATTCACATTGCAAAAATTATTAACACCAAGGATCCATTAGAAGCCAAATTAAGCTGCTTTCCCATGCCATGCCACTGTCAAGCAGGATGCATGCTCTGGGCAGATTTCACGCATTTTTGTCATTGGGTTGGCAGAACTGTCAAATGCCAGTTTTGAAAGATGAGGCTATCTACAGATGCTTGCATAACACAGTTAAGCAGGGAAACAAAAATGAAAATATTCCATGGCCATTCACTGTGTGCTGATAGCTTCAGTTTGAGCTTCCAGATGCACTCTCCTCCCCTCCCACAGCCCTGGGCCCAGAGATGTGGTTTTGGATGCCTCTCTCAGGGCTTCCTTGCTCTCTGGTTTCTGGTTGAGCTCAGTTAATAGAACCCTTAGCAGGGACAGGGAGGTAAGAGTGTTTACTCCCTGGTCCCTTTTCGGGGGTTACTATAGGCTGGCTGTGTTTGGAGGCAGAAGTCTTGAGTTTCTGAAGGCCATCCTTCAACCATACCACTCCTCTGTCTTTAGCTTCCTTCATCTTTCCCTCCATTGTCAACTCAGGCCAAGGCAAGGTAACAGTCCCCATTGTATTGTCCCCACTTTGTATTGGAATGAAACATAATTTTATACAACAAAAATGATCAAATATTGGCAATTTCATATGCAATGCCAGAAATCATTACATCATTAAATTGTTTTGAATTGATCAATTAAAGTGCAGGCCATGAATGAAAAAGAAAAAGATTTTTGGTTGAAATTTWAAAAAGGCAGGAGATGCAGAGAAGCATCTGTAGATTTTTCAAGATGAAAATATTTGCTAAGGATCAAATGATTATTAAATGGTAGAAACAGTGATTATACACTATCTAAAYACTGAGCTTATAAATAAAAAAAAATTTGGAAAGTAAATGGTTGTTTGGTATCACAGCACCAAAATGATTCAATTGCTTTAAAACCAATCTGGTAGATTTGGGAACCTAATCAACTAGTTTGATGTTACCAAGCCCTCATCAATTCATAATTAGAGACACATCATTAGGATGCAAAGGAAAGAACAAAACTGAAAGTAAGGAGAGTGGATTTGAGTCCTTGTTACCCCTGCAATTACTGAATTATATCAGTCATACAATCCAGGGTAAATCACTTGGCTTTTCCATCCTCAGATCTCTAATCTGTAAAATGAGGACTAAAATCTCTTTTAGTTCTAATTTTTGGTGGTTTTTAATATCTGGGGCTGATTGAATGAATTAGCAGAGCCTTCATGTTCCTCTTCCTTTGCCTCCTCTGCCAGCTCATTTTCTTCACCCAGCAATTGGTCAATGATTTCCCAATTTGGCAGCAAGAGAGAAACACCTGGGGTGCTTTCCCGGGCTCCACCCATAGCTACTGGACTCTAGCACCTTGCAGACAGTGGCTGTCTAACACTTATGAAATTCCCCCAGTTGATTCTGAAGTGCAACCATATTTGGAAACCATTTGGAAAAATATTACCTTGGAGATAAAAAGAGAAGATTGAAGACAGATATGAATTATTATTAACAACTCTAAGGACATTATGAGTGGTTCTCAGTAATGGAGTTAAATGATTTCAATTCTCTTGTTCTCTGTAATACTTTTATAGAAGGAGGACCCTCACTAGATTTTCTTGTTGTGATGGTGTTTATGGGTATGAGTTTCATGGGTGTATTCATTACCCCTAAATTCTTTTTCATTTTCTTATGTCAGAATAGATCTTTTTTCAAAGCATGCAGACATAGAACATATTTATATGACTCATTTGAATAAATGCATAGTGTTTATAGCTGAGGTGACTGACCCAAGCCTTGTTGTATGATTCTCATTTGCTTATATGACTCAATGATTCCAGTCCTTTATCATAGCATGTAACAATGTATCCCAAGAACTACATAGAACTGATAATGCTTTGCTAATGCAAAGTTCAACTCAAGAAGTACATATGTTTGCAGATGTCAATAGCATTAACAGCATGCTCATTATTTACAGGGACTAGGTTCTCCAAATAAAATTGAAAACAAAATCATGCAGAGCTTACCGGGTCCCGGCGCACCAGATCTCCGTTGGGCACGACTTCAACCAGGTGGATGATGATAATCATGGAGTTCAGAATGTAGGTCAGAAACATGTTCTTGTGCAGAGTCACACGTTGGCAGCCAAGGCTCCTGGAAGAAAAAGTAATGTGAAGTATTAACTGGGGCCCAAATGTTAAAGTTCCTGAAAAAAAAAATGGATGATATTTTTTCATATTTTCTTTAGCAACAGACATGAGGACATACAGAAGCAAATGAGGTGGGTCCCATCCTCAAGACTGATTACTATGTTTCTGCCTGATTTTTTTAAAAAAATAGTTTTAAAAGCAATTTTCTAGTCACAGAAGTTGTAGTTGGGGGTCCTTGCAGTGGCTTCCTACAATAACTGAAAGAGCAAGGAATGACTTTTGATTATGACAATGTTGGGGAAATAATTTAAAAAAGGGTTCTTGGAGGAGAAACCATTAGGATTTGGGGTGTGCTTCAAATGAAAAGTCTACTGTCCGTTGTTGTAACCAGGCCCCAAATAGGTGGTAAATGGGGTCATAGAGCAAGAAGTCAGAACAAGGGATGCCCATGACCAGGGACAGGAGCCCTTACATACACGAGCTTCAAGTATTCCACCATTCTTTCCTTCCACTGTGTCTTTTGACATCTTCCTAGATCTGTGGAATCCCTCCTGTGGTTCCTGCTCTCCACATTCTCCTGCTGGTGGAGCTCGGACACAGGCAGAGAATTGTAAATGGGCTTAAATTTGATCTCCTCATGAGGCATATTGTGCTTCAGATCTGGCGAGACCTATCTAAGTACTGCTGCTTCCTTGCACAGTTACTTTCCCACCTTATTGGTACTAAATAATTTGTTGGATTCTTTTATTCCTTTCTCCCCTACTTCATAAACTTGTTACATAAGCACTGATGTGAAAGTTCACATAATAAAACATTACTTTGAATATCCCTTTTCACTTTGGGGATGCAATGAAGATAGCCTGTGTCATGGTAGAAAGAAAATTGGAATGAGAATTGTAGGTCAATAGACATCCTTTATTTAATATATTTCATCCAGTCAAAAATATTAGTATAATGTATTTACATTGTGAAAGCTTAAAACCTGCAGTTACTCCTCACAGTAGCTACTCCTAAAACAAGTTCATGGAATAAAGTTAGAAGCCAGGAATTTTGAAAAAGAAATCCGGGGAAAAATGAAATATCAGAATGGTCTGGATTTACTTACAATGCTTTCCTATATTCACAACTCAAAGGAAAGTGAATTGTCAATAATTTGTAGTCAAAAGTAAGAGTAAGTAATAAGGACCTCTGTGAGAGCGCATTTGGATGACTGCAGATACACTTCTCAGGAAGCACACATATTAGTAGTTAATGAATAACAGTTTAGAATTTGTCACTTATTGGGCAGTATTAGAATATAGAACTTTATGTCCAGAAGGCAGCCTATGGTAAAGATGGGGCTTAGAGAAGAACTTACCCTCCCAGCCCCCCCCCCCCMCCCCCGTCACTGTGATGGATTACCTTACTTGGCAGCAAAATTAAACCAAACTTGCTGGGTTTTACAATAATGTTAAAGACAGGTTGAAAGTTTAAGGCTTTCAAAAGAACAAAAAACTGTGTGAAACACTGTACCCATTTATAAACATAAACGCTTCCATCTTGCAACTGTTGGACTCAGTGCTGTTGAACCTGTGACCTGACACCTTCCATGTAGTCATAATTGTGTTCAATAATTCTTCTCATTAGGTGTAAATATCTGTGGTTTCCTCATGGCATTCAGTCTGGTTTAGCCTATGACAACTGCCATTGTCTAGAAGGAAAAGCAGGAGGAAGGTCTGCTGCTCCTGGACCTGGCTTTCTTTAGATTGGGCAGAGTTCAATAATCTGTTGATGCATAACACTGGCTTAAGGGACTTCATTAGCTGCATTCTCTGTGGAAACCAAAGCCCCCTGAACAAAAGATATTTCCTCTACCTGCTGCTTACTCTTGCCCCTGAGTCCCTGCTTTATTTTTCTTCTTAACACTCATCACCTCTTGATATTGCCTATTATTTTCTCTTTTCCTCCCACTAGCATGGTAGTGTCCAAGGAAATTGTTTCATAATCCTAGAACACTGACACATCCCAGGACTTAAGACTCATGGCTTAATTAAAAATCTATGACAACAATTTTGCTTTGAGCTGTGACCACTCAACAGTTTTTCAGTCCATCAAAGAATTATATTAAATGCTAGATGATTTCATATCTCATACTTTGTATCACAGTGAACATTGACCAAATTCTTAAGTTGTTAAGCTAACTAATATTGGACATCATCTTGTTGTTCAACACTAGCTCATATGTAGTTATGATTTAGATGTGATGTCCCCTAAAAGCTCACGTGTGAGACAATGCAATGGAGTTTGGAGGAGAAACAATTGGTCTTTAGCTTTAACATAATTAGTTAGTTAATCCCTGATGGGATTAACTGAGTGGTAAATGGAGGCAGGTGGGTGTAGCTGGGGGAAGTGGTTTCATGAGAGGCGTGCCTATGGGGAATATATTTTGTATCTGGAGGGTGGAGTCTTTCTCTCTGCTTCCTGTTCACCATGTGAGCTGCTTTCCTCCACCACACTCTTCCACCATGATGTTCTGCCTCACCTTGAGCCACTCCAAAGTGATAGAGCTGGCTGTCTATGGGCTGAGACTTCTGAAACYGTAAGCCCTCAAACTTTTTCTCCTCTACAGTTTTTTTCTGGTTGGGTCCTTTAGTCACAGCAGTGAGAAAGGCTGACTAAAACAATATTTTATATATATGTATAAATCCGTATATATGTGCATATACCTACATAAGAACCCATACACACTTCTCATTGAGAACGTAGAGAAAATGATGGTTTAAAACTAGATAAACTGTTAGCCTCCAAAGGGAGACTATGGCTAATAATGAGTTTCTGTTTCTTAAAAGTTCAAACATGATTTCTGTTTATTGAGTTTAAAATTTTTTATTGCATTACTTGATGACATTTACACTCATCTTTTTGAAGCCAGTTAACGGTACTTTAAATTTATCAAAATTAATTAACAATTGAGTTACTGTGTACTCAATATGATCCAGAACTTCTAGTAGAGGCAGAGGATATATCGGTGCACAAATAGAAAGCTTCTGACTTCAAGAACCTTATATGCAACATAGCCGCTTATTTACTCTTATTGTGATAAGTGTTCTGAAGAAGAGGCATAGGATGTTGGAGAAGATGAACTGAATTTAGCATAAGAATTATAATGCAAAAATCTTGTTGCTTGAGTGAATGTAAGAGCAGCTGATAACATTTTCTTGTCAGATCTGAAATGTCTTAAGTAGAAATTGCATAAACCTGATGTTATACTATATTCCCTTGATAAAAAAAATAGGCATTTAGATGGACAGAACACTGCTTGTTAATTTGAGTGACAGGGAACCATAAGTACTATAGATTCTCCAATAGTGGGAGGACAAGATACCATTATCTGCTGTCTGGGCTAACCTGTGGTGTCATTTCAAATGTGACGAAGAAATAAGTGTTCTTGACTTTGAATCTCAAAATGCCATATTTTAAGGCTAAATCAAAAAGTCATTTTCATGGTTATAGTTTATCTGGTATAACTCTTTCACAAAGAATTTGTTTCATCTTATTAGTACTCTATCGGCATATGCATGTGTACTTTTTGAGAGCTTGTGGCTGTATGAGAGGCACTTAATATTTGCCTGGAGTTTTGCAGATTTCTTAAATCAGTTTTGGTATCAATCCTACATAAGTCTGTAATTAGAGTCACATTCAAAGCAAACAGGGAATAGCCGATAATGAAACGGAAAAGTTTGTATGGATTTACTAGTCCATGGGAAAACATGAGTTAGGAATTTCATTTCTATAATTGCTATAAGCCCAAGTTGCATCTTCCAGTCTGACTTTGTTCCCCTTTACCTAGTTATTGTACCTTCTTCACAATGGACATGAAAATTAAGGGCAAGAGAAGAAGGCAATAATGCATAATTGCATAACAGATCATATGTATGTCTTTCCTGATAAGGAACTTTCTACTTTTAGATATAGCACAAAATCCTTATCAAGAATTCCCCCTTTTAATCATAATGCTTGCTTCTTTTCCTATCACTACTGTTCTGTGGGTGAACAATATGTCATGGTCTGACCAACAGTTATCTTGACTGTCCCCAGCATGCCAGTGCCTGGGTTGGAAGAAAGTAAGCTATCCTTGATGTCTTCAACTGAGTGTTCTCTCTGGAGGAGCAGGAAGGCAGTCAGAGACATATAATGGTGGACACCACACAAGATAAAGACTTGTCTGTCCACCCAGAATGTAGGTGTGAAATGAAATGGCAGGAAATGCTGAGTTGGTAGTAAAGGAACCAGCGTTCCTTCTGGATGCCCCAATGGAAGCTACCATTTTTGACCTATGTTACTCCCTATGCTTTTTGAAATGCAATAAGACACTCCCTGTCTTTCAAAATATATTTCTAAAGCCTTTTGGGCAAGAGTAATAAATGTTTTAATTATTTAACAACCAGAAGGTATGAGTACTGATCAGTCACAATGGATGCTAATGAATGTTCTATTATGCCTCTCTTGAGAGAGCACGTGAGCTGTATAAGTATTTAAGTGTGCAATTGATAAATTGTAAGTAAAACTTGAGAAATAAGTGGATTTATTAAAAACTTGCTGAAAATGGTCAAGAACCAAACTCACCTAAATGTGCACTTACATAATTTTTCCAAATCAGTTTTCCCTAAGGGTTTCTACATCTTAGTTCTATTGTTGATATGTACTATTGGCATCTAATAGTGAGAGGTCTTGGTGAACTAATTTGATGTTTATATTTAATTCTTCTGCTTATTATTGTTCTTATTTTCCCTGCAAACATCCTAAACCAAATAGCATCCTAAAGTGGCTGTTTTCTATCTTTAACTATTGGACTAGAAATAACCTCTATACCGTGATGATGAATGTTATGTAAACTTTCATAACAGTTATAAAAGTTTTAGTGCCCTTTTTTATTAATTAAATCACTGAAACTCAGTTTCCTCTAGATTGTAGAAGACACAGAGGTTTTGTTTTCTTCTTTTAAAATAACAAAGCATGATTTTTATTTGTTTCAGGGTTATGTAGCCCCCCTGCCTTTTCCTTTTCCCTGAAGACTAAGAATAAAATTACATTAAGATCAGGGGCATGCTTTAATCGCCTCATTCTGAGTAAGAGCCCAAGATTTTTAGTGAAGTATTGGCAGTTCCATTGCCTCCTGTATGGTCAGTAACTTTGAATTCTCCTGCAGGCCTCCTTAGCCTGCTGGTTGGAGGACACCTGCAGAGTTTCTTTTTTTGATAGACTCTGTAAGGTGCATTTCAAGAGTTCTGAGGACCTCAGAGTGAGATTTCATGGGATGATTATGAAGGAACTAGTCCACCAAGGGAAGCTGCATAACTTCTCACTTTGGTTTCATAAAAGTTTTATGCAACTAACTGTTCAAATTTTTCAAAATACCGCAAGAATGCAGAATTAAGCAAGAGACAGATAATTGATCATTGATTTTTCACATCAATAACGGTATTTAAGTAAATAAATGATGAACACTTAGATTGTAAAGTATGGTAAACATCTTATGGTGATGTTAATTGTTTGAAAAAAAATTCCTGGGAAAATTCTGCTAATTAAAAGATAAATTCCAGTGATAGGTCAAAATTACTTTCTACTTCACGATAATTTTTATTATTTTTGAAATACAAATATAAGAAAAAATTAGAAAAGCCAGGAACATACTTCATTTTTAAGAAAACAGACGTATTTAACATTTTTAGTTTGGGCATTTTTAGGAGACCATTGAGAACAAGTATAAAAATTGTATCTCATTATTTTGAATTTGAATATTTGACATCTCCCCATTTGTGAACTACATTTCTCATTCTTCTCTTGTGTGGCTGCCCTGGAGAGTCAGCTATTTCCGTTTATATCTTTGCATTATTAGATTTAGATTACAAATTAGTATACTTGTTAGTACTTGTTTTTCCTCCCCAGATTTAAGTTGTTGACTGAGGGCTTCTTGAAATAGAGACAATAGAACAATGTGCCTCACAGATGATCTCAGGTCCTCCCTCTTACCCTCCCCTCTAGGGTTAGAACAGTATCATTTTACTCTGGGTTAACTATTCTAATTTACCCATGTGTTTTTTTTTCCCCCTGTAATGGGGATTAAACTCAAGGACACCTCACCACTGAACCACAACCTCAGTTCTCTTTATTTTTTTGAAACAAGCTCTCACTAAGTTGCTGAGGGTGACCTTGAACTTGCAACCTGCCTGCCTCAGCCTCCCAACCATGTGCCACACTTTTAAACACTCATCTTCTGTGGCTTGATGTAAGAATAATAATTGAAAGAACATTCTCGTTTGCTTTGCTGGTTCCACTCTCAGATCTCATAACTTGTTTAAGTGAATGGAGATATTAAAAAACCTAAGAAACACCCCCTTGCCATTACCTTTAAAGTCCTGATCCGAGTATTAGTTGCATAGCTACAAATTTGGGATTTTTCTTTTTGTTATATTTTTTAAAAGCTTAAAAAAGTAGGCTTTTAGAAGCAGACTTTTTAATCAAAGTTGTGTGAGAGTCAAGATGATGTATTTATTCACCATGGTGAAGAGCCATTGAAAAATGAGCAGACATTCCAAAATTAATCATGCTATGGTGATTACTTTGCTGTGTTCTGATCATTATAATTGAAAATACTCTTCTAATTCTAGCAATTAATACCTCATGTCTTTCTGCTTTATCAGTCTTCTGTTGAGCCATTTGTGGTAGGAGCTTATTGTCTGTTTACTTTTTCTTTAGTCACTTTTGTGTGTGTGTGTGTGCTGGAAATTGAACCCAGGGGCACTTTATCACTGAGCTACATACCCAACCTTTTATGTTTTTTACTTTGAGACACGTTCTCACTAAGTTGCTGAGGCTTGGCTTGAACTTATGATCCTCCTTGCCTCAGAATCCCAAGTTGCTGGGATAACAGGTATGCATGTATCACTGAGCTAGGCAATATAAGAATCTTGACTATGATATGGACAAAGATTTAAAAAATGACCAAGAAAAAAGTAAAAGTTGTGCTAAGGATGTGTACAGAGTTGATTATTCTCCCATTTGTTTAATTTTCTTTAGTACTATCATGATAACATTTTAACAAAAATCAAATTAAGCTTTTGTTATTCTATATATAGGTGACTAGATTTAATTGTGTGGCACATCTTTTAAGTGTAAAGGATTATCTGGAATCTGAGCTTAGGGGTTTGCCATACCACTACAACTATTATTACTACCAATAATAATTATGGTGATAGCAATAATAATGATACCAAACACATATTTCACTGGTGTTTTTTTTTTTTTTTTTTGTACCAGGGATTAAACCCAGGGATGCTTACCTACCGAGCCACATCCCCAGCCCTTTTAAAAAATATTTAGAAACAGTATCACGGAGTTGCTTAGGGACTCACTAAATTGCTGAGACTGGCTTTAAACTCTCAATCCTCCTGCCTCTGCCTCCTGAGCTGATGGATTACAGGTGTGTGCCACTGAGCCTAACTCATATTACACTTTTTATGTGTCAGATACTAATTTAGATACTGTATCATTCCATCTAATTTATTTCCATTTCTAAGAGATTTATGAACTGCAATTCATTTACAAAAAAATATATGGGTGGCCTATTTTAGACCTACATTTGTGAATATAATTCATAAAATCAGCTAAAGGGCTATGTTATGGGAGCCTTATTTTCATGAAGGATTGCTGTGATGTAAACATAGTTAATAGTTTCTAATTGAAATGTCTAGTTATTTGAAAAGATCCTGTTTATATTTATCTAAAGATGACAAGACACCTTCAAGTATTCAAATTGTTCCTTATGTATTTTCTCACATTGTGCATTCTGATACAATTGTTCACACATAAAGACTAAAGAAAAACATATTTGAGCTGGGTTTTGCAAAGACATGCTCTGATGTGTTTTTTTTTTTTATGCCTTATTCTCACATAGGCTAACATATCTCTGAATTTCATTCTTCTGGGGTTATAGCTGAAGTGTTCTAGCAGATGGCAATTGCCAGACCATGTCTATAGGTTATTTCATCCAAGTTGCTCCAGGGATTGCTGGCTATGATCTCAACTAGTGTAACAGCAGTAGGAAATTCTGATAAGGGAGTTTTCTGCATGGAAAACATAAGCAGACCTCCTGCCTGCTGGGAATTCTATAGAATTTTCATGTCAGATAATTTATGCACATTTAGACCTACCTTATTCATATAATGGAGAATGGAGTATCAAGATTTTTCCTAATCAATCTAATTATCTAAAATACAAGAAAATCCAAAGTTTGCACATAAAAGGGTATATAAGTCTAAGTAGAGGGAATTATTGCTTTAGTGTAAAAATTAGAATTCTCATGAAAGGGCAATGTAGTGCCACATGCCTCATGCCTTGAGTTAAAGAAATGATGCCAAATTTAAGAAACAGCCCAATGTAGTCATGTTACTTTGTCAAACACACGATGAAGAAGGACTCAACACATGCTCCATTATTGTAAAATTTGCATGTATATCAACCTAATCACTTTGCCACAGATAATGCAATTAAGTTTAATAGACAAAACCTTAGAATAAAAACCCTCATGAGAATATTATTCCTCACAATGTCTTAGAAGATGGGTGTGGTTGAAAACTAGTAGGTTTGCAAGGAGAAAGAATTAACACTGGACAAAGAACCATCTTCTTCCACCAACTTCAATCCTGGTTGAGTGGGTTAAGGCATAAAGAGAGACTCAAGACTTGCCCTCCTCTGTGATTAAACCACTATCATGGCCTCACCGGTCATGGAAAATCCACTTTTGATACAGCTCATAACTAGGCAGGGTGCATGTGAACCTATGGCCATGGCCTCTGTATAGTAGAGCAAGGATTGGAGAAGGTGGAGGAGCCTCTGCTCAGTATTTAATGTAACTTCAGCCAGGGTAAATGGAACCTTTCCATATTACCACAGGGTCCTCCTGGGTTCACAGGCCTGTCTTATTTGGCGAAGGAGGCATATTGCCTTTGAAAACAATAATGAATCCATCTTGTTCTCCCAAAGTTAGGGTTCAAAAGCATTTGATATTTTGGCTAGTTCATCACTACCAATGGTGCCTGTCTTTCATGATTTGCAGGAGACCTTCCCCCAGCCCCACTCTTAGAGAATTTGCCACTTCTTCCAGTAACTTCGAGAAGAAAATAAAAAGCAGATGTTGTAAATGTACTCACCTGAAGAACACAAAGATCCCCAGGGAAATCACCAAGGTGAAAATGGACAAAGAGTGACCCACGATAGCCAGGTAGTACAGAGAGTACGCGTTCTGGAACAGAGAGAGGAACCAATGAGTTCAGGGAGGGGGCAAGAGTTTCTGTTTCTGGATACAAGACAGCATAGTTTTCCTTCTTTAAAACCATCTAAAAACATCAGAACAATACTTCAGCAAATAAAATTATTTTTTTGGTTTATTCATCTGATTTTAGAGAAATCAGTTGACCTATTTTCAAAGAAAGTTCCTTGAGGTGAATTAAATCTCATTCAAAAATATACTGTTGAAGTAATATTAAGTGCATGGAAATGATTACCATGAAGCTGAGGAAGAGATCCTGGCAGGGTTTAACTTCTAGGGTCTTACAGACAGTGGGTATGTCTACGAAATGGCAGATTAATAATCTACAAATTCTCCTGACTCTTGGCACTAGGAATACACAGAGAAAAAAGAGAGTACGATGGCAGATTTTTCTGTACCTGTATTTAACCCAGGATTAAAGTACATACAATTTAATATATATATATCCATTTAAAAAAATAAATTTGAAAAAAGAAGGGTATCTTTAGTATTTAGTTGGTTGAAGAATATGAAGTCTTTTCCTTGATGGTCATTTGTTAATTCTATTTTTCCATAATCGTGGTTCATTTTTACTCTCTCCTAGTGTCATGTTGGTTCAAAAGAATATTAATGAGTTCTTTCATGAAATGCATAATATCATAGTATCTTTTTACTGGTTATCCATAATCTTTCCTTTTCTCATAATTTGATGTTCTGTACTTACCTGGCTATCTCTCAGAAGGGAGAGTTTGAGCTGGTCATCCAACTCTGGCTTTTCTGTCTTTCACTGTTTCTCTCCCTCTGTGTTTCTGCCTTTCTTTTAGTCAGTCTCTCTCTCTCTCTCTCTCTCTCTCTCTCTCTCCTCTCTC